ACTGTGTTATGTTCTATTTTAAACTATCTAAGAAGGTTTTACCAATGCTTTACTAATTCAATATTTTTAGAAGCGTGACCTTGTTTACTAGAACTGAGTGTTTATATGTAAACAATGTCTGCGCTAAGATCATATTTATAGGGACAGGAGTTTACCTACACTACCACATGAAAGACTTGAGTGTTCGTTAATCATTCACTCTAATTGTCAGGTACAGCACACTTCGGTGACCGCATAGGTGTCAGGAACTTTGAGAGGCGCTCTCTGGAGCCCCCGATTACACTACCGCGTACGGACATGGCTCCTTGAACGTAACGTAGGCGTCGACGGACACTCCTGATTCAATGTAGTGAACATCTATGACGCCACATCTTAGCAAAAGTCTATCGCACTGTTTAAAACGACCATAGGCGTCTTAGCGCCCACGAGATTACCAGGGCTGCCCAATTGCACTCTGCTGAGGCGCCGCCCGTGCGGAATTGAAAATTGTTTTTTTTTTCACAGAAACTTCCCCAGGAGTATTCTCAATAACGTCCAATATATCCATGGCAAACTAATGAAAGTTGTAACAATGCATAAAAGACAAATGAATTCTGACAAAATATATTATGAGGTTTTCATCAATGCTTTACCAATACTATATTCATAGACGCGTGACATTGTTTTCTAAAACTGAGTTATTTAAATGTAAACAATACCTGCGCTCACGGGAAAGACCGGGACACCAAATCGCACACTGCCCGGGACCGACAGCGCGAAATTGAAGTTTTGTAGTCCTATAAACCTTCTTGGAAGTATTCTCATCCTCTCCCCAAAAGTTTCATGGCACTCGGGTGAACGTTGTCTATCAACATCCTACTCTTATTCTTTATATATAGAGAAAAATCTCACCCTTCCAGAGCGCCGCCCTTTCAAAATTAAATCATTTTTGTTTACAGAAACCTCCTTTGGAGTGTTCATATCAACTACACAAAGTTTAACAGCGATCGGATGAACGGTGTTAAATCAAAAATCGGCTTTTTTTATATGCCGAACATGTAGAATACATAAAATGCACCATGCTGGGGCGCCACCCCTTCGATTTGTAATTTTTTTTTCGCAGAAACCTACCCCCCCCCCCCCTCCCCAGAGTATTCCCAACAACTTCCCAAACTTTCATGGTGATCGGAGATGTAGTAATGCATAAAAGACAGACAAAGAAACAAACATGCATTGCTTTTTGTATATATAGATAAGAACGTACCTGCAATGGAAGGCCTGACAGCAGTTTCCATAGAATTCCCCATTAATAACACCACAAGGCTCGAACTGCCAGTTACATCTAATTATAAATCGTCTGCAAATATATTAAATTTAATGAAATATATTTAGAAATCTAAGTAATAATACCATGATATTAATTATTATTTTATGTATTTTCTTGAAGTCCTTACCAAAAGAAAAGAAACTAATTGTAAATATAAACACTAAAATAGCACTACAATATTTTACATTATGTTGATGAATTTTCACTAGTTTGTGTTCATTGAGGCCACACTGAAGCACGCCTGATCTTGCATACCGTAGTTACACAAACACTGAAACTGCTACAATTGCATATTGCTTTTACATAAGCACAAAAAATCTGCAAGTTCACACTTAACACAAACATATACATAGCTACAAATGTACACTGTCTCAACCCATAAACACAGGCAAGCCTTATTGATATATTATTATATTATATACATATAATATATGTATATAATATATATTTTATATCGTTTTATCTACGAATAAACACATACACTGCTACAATCTACTTACTGGCCTTCAAAGTATCCTTGTCTTTTTGACAAACCTGTTTATGTTTAAGTATTTTAGTTACTCCATTTGGTGTAGGCTACTTTTATATTTCAATAACAAACAAACAAAGAAACATCAATATAAATTTCAAAAACTGTTATATATCAACCGTGTCAAAACGGACAGTGTCAAAATAGCCCACTCAAAAAAGACAACAGCATATGGACCCAGTTATATATGCTACCGTAAAAACCATATATGGAGAGCAATGGAAGAGGGGGGGGGGGGGGTAGTGTCGAATTCACTAACTTTGAAGTGCTAAAAAGTAGATAATAAAACAACTAAATAGCGGCGTATATTATGTCCCGCGTCAGCTCGTATACATAATAAATGCATACATTGATTTAAAGAATCAAATGATTCCTTTGAAAATCCGGCTAATCAATGGTCATATGTTTTTTTAAAGTAATTTGTATTAGTTTGACCAAGAAAATTTGTATAAATCTCTTAATAGGTAGATTTATAAAATCTGGAGCTATTTCTAAATCAAATATGAAAATAAATAATTCATGTCTTTATATTCTAAAATCGGAAGATGACGCCATTAGTGTTGTGTTCTTTCCCTAGTGTAAACATGTGGCTTGTGACGTCATTGTTTATTGCGTTCTTGTCACAACTACAAACAATTTTTTGGTTGCATGATTAAAAATGTTTTCCTACATTCTAATATGCCTTTATTTTTATTTATCTTCTTTAAATATAATTTAGGTTATACATTTAAAACATCAAACATATTATTTTCAACAGAAGTTCGTATCAGGTTCTCAATTTTTCACTGAAGATAATGATATCATAGCCTGTGAACATATTTTGCTAACAAAGAGAGAGAGAGAGAGAGAGAGAGAGAGAGAGAGAGAGATGCACACATTTGTTTTTATATATTGGGATATATATATATATATATATATATATATATATATATATATATATATATATATATATATATATATATATATATATATATTATTATATATATATATATATATATATATATATATATATATATATATATATATATATATATACAATGAATTTACCAAGACTATTTTTGAATGAAATAAAGAAACCATTGACGTTACCTCCTTTGGGAAGAGCATGCGATGCGGCTAAGCAGACGATCAGGAAAAAGAAAATTTTCATTGTGCTTCAGGTTACAGTTCTATAGCAAACGGGCGGTCCTGACCTGTAAATAACAGATAAAAATAATGTGCGTTATTTGATTGTTCTATTCTATATGGATTATCCTTACCTGTAAAATATAAATATGGTTTTAGGTCTCTGTCCTATACTATATGGACTTTCTTTACCTGTAAAATATAAGCATTAATATAAATAGTCTGTTTCTTGCAAATGTCCTATACAATACAGATCATCCTTACCTGTACAATAACTTTAATCAAAAGTCACATCAACACGTTTAAAAATAAAAATTCTGCAGGTTGTTCTAACGTGTCACAGTTTAATATTTCAAAAAACACTACAGTATAAATTATCAATTACCTTTAGCTAATATTGAACTGCCAGATACTTAGTTAATAGAATTGATCTTCACGCGGTTTTATCCATTAGAAGATAGAGTCAATGTAATCCTAGGAACAGCTGCTAAGTTAATTCACAACGAGATTTATCTTAGGTTTTTGTCGATTGTTTTGCTAAATGTAAGTTAAGGATTGATAAATCTTTCTCAATGGTTAAGTTATATAACAAAAAACAACTTGTAAATTTAGAATTTAGACCTGCTAACACAGACGTCGAAAACTGTTCGGTGAACAGGATCAAAACCGGATAATGCATACTGACACTAACACCACAGACCAACCAACCCCCCCCCCCCCCCACTTTCCCTATATTATAACCACCTTTTGAGTAGATTGGAAGATCTGTCTGTCTGTCTGTCTGTCTGTCTGTCTGTCTGTCTGTCTGTCTGTCTGTCTGTCTGTCTGTCTGTCTGTCTGTCTGTCTGTCTGTCTGTCTGTCTGTCTGTCTGTCTGTCTGTCTGTCTGTCTGTCTGTCTGTCTGTCTGTCTGTCTGTCTGTCTGTCTGTCTGTCTGTCTGTCTGTCTGTCTGTCTGTCTGTCTGTCTGTCTGTCTGTCTGTCTGTCTGTCTGTCTGTCTGTCTGTCTGTCTGTCTGTCTGTCTGTCTGTCTGTCTGTCTGTCTGTCTGTCTGTCTGTCTGTCTGTCTGTCTGTCTGTCTGTCTGTCTGTCTGTCTGTCTGTCTGTCTGTCTGTCTGTCTGTCTGTCTGTCTGTCTGTCTGTCTGTCTGTCTGTCTGTCTGTCTGTCTGTCTGTCTGTCTGTCTGTCTGTCTGTCTGTCTGTCTGTCTGTCTGTCTGTCTGTCTGTCTGTCTGTCTGTCTGTCTGTCTGTCTGTCTGTCTGTCTGTCTGTCTGTCTGTCTGTCTGTCTGTCTGTCTGTCTGTCTGTCTGTCTGTCTGTCTGTCTGTCTGTCTGTCTGTCTGTCTGTCTGTCTGTCTGTCTGTCTGTCTGTCTGTCTGTCTGTCTGTCTGTCTGTCTGTCTGTCTGTCTGTCTGTCTGTCTGTCTGTCTGTCTGTCTGTCTGTCTGTCTGTCTGTCTGTCTGTCTGTCTGTCTGTCTGTCTGTCTGTCTGTCTGTCTGTCTGTCTGTCTGTCTGTCTGTCTGTCTGTCTGTCTGTCTGTCTGTCTGTCTGTCTGTCTGTCTGTCTGTCTGTCTGTCTGTCTGTCTGTCTGTCTGTCTGTCTGTCTGTCTGTCTGGGCCGTCTCCTCTCATTGCTTGCTTAAATCACTGTAAGTCAAAGTTGCACGATAACCATTGATTAAATACCTGCTTAAAATTAGGAAATGTATGAAAAACTTAAGGTGGTTTTTTTTTTTTTACCTTTTTTACCTGTTTAATTTAACATCTGCGATCTGTACGCAAAAAAAATAATCATTATTTTCCATTACTTCGTTTAAAATTGATAAAACATAAAAGAAGAACATTAACCCATATTATCCAAAGGTCTCAAATTTTTATAATTTTTTGATTTGGTTTAGCTTTTGGGCACTGAATGAAGGAATGACTATAGATTTTTTTTTAAATCAATACTTTTTTAAATATCAATTTTTTTAAAAAAAACGTCCCATGAATGGGACGCTAGCAACGAACGGCCCCATGTACATTTATTGGGAAAAACATCATTTTTCACGAAAACTGGCTAATCACGCGAAAATTAAGCTGTTTACTGATTTTGTATTGTTAGAGCAATGATTGCATTGTTTAGGACAGCTAAAAATACTGATAATGTTCAATTGGGTTAGCCATACCATGGTCTAATATACAGAAATTATGTTCAAATGTCTAGTTTTCTTTCAATCTAGCATCCATCTGCCTGGGAGAAACTCTGCCCTCAGTGAATTTGCAAAAGACGATCCGCTCCAGTCCCAGATGTCATCCAGCCATCTATTATTTTGTTACCCTCGCTATTCCCCTCCCTCCCCCCCCCCTCACAGGCGTAAATTAGGACATCAGACATCTTATTTCTAGGGCCCGGATAAATCTCTAGGGGCATGTATTGAGTGTTAGTGGCTTTCATCCGTGTATGCACCTCACTATTCAAACAGCTCCCAATCTAGCACCAGCAATCCCCTTACTAAGCTTCGTAAAAGTTAACAAAGTAAAACTGGTATTGTGAACCTTTGGAGGGGAATATTATTGGGGCATGACAGCAGTACACAGCTAATTCACGTTTCTGCTATATGTAGCTTGAGCTCTCTTATATGAAACAGTGTTAACAAACCCCCATGACTGAATCGTTTCACCTAAATCGTGATCATTGTTATTCTTCTGGTTTGTTATAATTTTAATATCAGGCACTAGTAAATTTACAGCAATACTAAAGTAATTTATATTCATTGGTATTAAATACTTTAGTTAGAGTAATTCTGAAAACTTAAAAATAAAATGTAAGTTTTTAAATATTTTCAATTTTTTATACAATAATACATAAGTAAATATAGGTCAAGGTCATAATTAAATATCTATAAATACTACTTAACACCCCAAAGTCAACAGTTAACAAAGTCAACAATTGTTTCACCATAAATAACCATTTAACATAAACATTTGCATCTGTGTTTCTCGCTAAAGTCCAATAAATGTGACGTTTGTGTAACAATCTACATAAATATAGGTCAAGGTCATAATTAAATATCTATAAATACTACTTAACACCCCCCAAGTCAACAGTTAACAAAGTCAACAATTGTTTCACCATAAATAACCATTTAACATAAACATTTGCATCTGTGTTTCTCGCTAGTGTCCAATAAACGTGACGTTTGTGTAACAATCTGATAGCGTCCCACTTATGGGACGCTTGTTGTACACTTGATATATTGAAGTTGTTAAAAAAATTGTTACTCTTAAATTTTTTTCAGATAGAAATATGTTACTGCTACAAATTTTAAATGTATTTTGCACTTAAAATGTTAATATTTTAGAAGATATGCATCTTCTAGTGCGCATGTTTTCTTATTTCCGCCATTTTGACAAGTCCTGCAAAGCCGGTACTATAACATTTTTCTAAATTATGTTTTTTCAAAAAAACACACACAAATTCAATAGTCTAACCATTTTCAAATACAATGAAACATAATTTGTGTTTTAACTAGTTTTTAATAAATTTTAGCAATTTTTTTTACAAGCGTCCCATATGTGGGACGCTAGCAGAATATGGGTTAATGTTCATATATATATATATATATATATATATATATATATATATATATATATATATATATATATATATATATATATATATGTGTGTGTGTGTGTGTGTGTGTGTGTGTAGGTGTTGGTCAAATGGTAGGTGTTGGTCAAATGTTTGTTGGTGGTAAAACGGTTTTTTAAAGGTCAAATAGTAGGTGGTGGTTCATAAGTAATCTCCATTTCTGTTCCTATTTTGTGGCTGTTCGATGGATGTTGCAAGAGTCACGCTTCGCGCAATGACGTCAAGTGGGGTGATCATTTTTATAGCCTAAGTGGCATTATTATTGTGGATGGATTCACTGTCAAATATCTCAGGTATCGATAAGTATTTCAAGCCTTGATTCTTAGTTGCTGAGCGGTCTGTTTCTATTTTCCTGAGACCAAGTTGATAAACATAATTTGTTTTTATTAACAGAAAATACATATTTTATCCAGTTTCTGCAACAAATCCCACTCTCAAGGAATCCTAAGTGTGCTCCACCCCTCCCGAGATTTTATTGGTTTTATTCCGGAGAGAAAAATATCTGAAACAAACACTATATCCTAAGATTTCAAGCTCAATACCTGTTTCGACACAGGTTAGCTTACATATTGTTCCTTAGACTATTACTAAGCACTAACTCCTTATACCAAGAGTCTATTCCATTGAACAAGAAGGACAATTTAGTTACCATGAATATTTTCGCTTAAGGCATTACAACACTATTGAGATATTACATTGTTTTTCGAATCTTGCATAGTTATCAACGGCTGTTCTTTTCCGATGACATCGATGGCATAAGGTGAAAAATGACGTATTCTAATTGGAACTGATCGATCAGTCGATTGCAGGACAGTTATTCTTACTTTGTGGTCATTGAACCCTATCTTGACGCCACTGAATACGTACCCATGCTCTGTGAAACTCTCAGACATACACCAACCTATGAGCTATGGCTCTAAAACCTAATCGATCAGTAGATATGGCGAGTGTAAAGCTATCGAGGCTACATTATTTATAACATGATATTCTGCTAGGCAGCCATTATTTATATCATGATACTCTACTCGGCAGCTATTCTTTATAACATAACTTTTGCTTGTGGACATTCAGGAGTTCTAGTTCATACATCACAACATAAGTGTGACTGTAGACTAAACAGCTCTTATTTTACATACATTAACAGGCGGTTAGGTAAGGCAGATATTTTTGAGCAAATTGTCATGTGGAACAAAACCAATAGAGACAGTATTTTATCATGAGTTTTTTTTAAATTTGGAATTAAAATTTAGCAGGACGCAAAACACACACACACATACACGCTCACAAAAAAACAACACACACACACAACACACAAAGAAGAACAGGCAGGCAAGTGAACGGGAGACAAATAAACTCAATAGCAGACTGACAAAGAAACACAGGGCCCTAACAATAAGACAAGACAAGTTAATATTTATAACATAAAAGAAAATATACAGTGATTTATTTTAATGTCCATCAATGGCATCTAATCTCATCATCTGGCTCAGAAACTTGAGTCGCTTCAATCTAACAGACAAAATCGAGACCAGCTGCTGTAAATCAGAAAAATAAAAGTGAGTCTACCTACTGTAAGGCAGAAAAACATAACATAAGACCATCTGCTGTAAAAGAAAATTAAGTTAGGTCAGCTATTGTAAAACAGAAAAATAAAAGTGATTCTACCAACTGTAAAAAAGAAAAAAGCTTCTTATTAAAACGTTTCTACAAGCTTTTATTTAATTCACTTCCTCTGTCTGTCGTCAGTCTAGATCGAAACGCAG